GGCGCCGTCGACGGCGGCCGCGAGCGCGGCGACGGCCGCCTCGTTGAGCCGCGGGCCGAGGTCCGCGACGGCGCAGGGCGGCGCCAGCGGCAGCGGCAGGTCCAGGGCGACGGCGCGCACGGCGTCCGCGGCCGCGGCCGCCTCGGGGCCGCCGCGCGCGAGCGCCTCGCCGCGGCGCCGCGCCTCCTCCGCGACCTCCGCGCCGCGCGCCGCGAGCGCCGCGGCGACGTCCGCCCCCTCCAGCGCGACGACGCACGCCTCGACGGCGGCCGCGACCTCGCCGCAGCCGAGCTTGCCCGCCTCGCGGAGCACCGACGACGCCGCGACGGCCCGGAGCGCGCCGCAGACCTCCGCGACGGCCGCCGCCGCGCGCGCGGCGCCGCCCGCGGCCCGCACGAAGGCCCCGGCCGCGGCCCGCGCGGCGTCGGCGCCCGCCGCCTCCACCAGCGCGCCCCGAAGCGCGCCGTAGGCCGCCTCGTCGGCGAGCGCGGCCGCGTCGGCGACGGCCGCGTCGAGCCGGGCCACCGCGAGGTCCCGGACGCGGTCCAGCGCGCCGGCGACGACCGCGGCCGGGTCGAGGCCCGCGGCGGCGTCGAGCGCGTCCGCCGCGCGCTCGAGGAGCGGCGCGGGCGCGCGCAGGGCCCCCGCGGCCGCGTTCGCCCGGAGCGGCGCGAGCGTCCCCTTCCCGAGCGCCTCGAGCGCCTTCCTCGTCGCCGCCGCGCCGGGCGCCCACGCCCGCGCGAGCCCGTCCACGGCCGCCGCCGACGCCGCGTCGGCGGCGCGCGCGACGGCGGCGTCGCAGGCCTCCGCGGCGAGCGCCGCGCCGTCGTCGAGCCAGTCCTCGAAGGATTGGCCGCCCGCGAGCGCCTCGGCCCACCGCGAGAGGCGCAGCGCGGCCGAGTCGACGTCCTCGGCGAGACGCGACGCGTCGCCGCGCGCGAGCAGGCCCGCGAGGCCCCCGAAGCCGTCGCCGTCGCCCTCGAGCGCGACGCGGGCCACCGCGAGCGCCGCGGCGCGGTCGCCGTCGCCCGCCGCGGCGTCCGCGCGCGCGGCCGCGGCCTCGACGACGTCGCCGAGGAGCCACGCGAGCGCCGCGGGCACCTCCCAGCGCGTCGCGCCGCCGTCGACGCGAAACGCCGCCTCGAGGACGTCCCCGGGCGCGCCGCCGCGCGCGAGCGCGCCCCGGAGCGTCGCTACGACCTCGAGGCGCCGCGCGAGGTCCCGCGCGGCGCGCGTCCGCGCGGCGTCGACGGCGAGCGCGCCCGCGTCGAAGCAGCCGCTGACGAGGTCGCCGTCGAGCGACATCTTCGCCACGGACTTGACGAGCCCGCCCAGGATCTTCGCGCCGGCCCGCAGGCCCGCGCTCCGCGCGAGCGCGTCGTCGCTCGCGGCCCGCAGGTGCGCGTCGACGGCCGCGAGCGAGAGCCGGAGCGCGCTCGGCGCCGCGCGCGCGGACGCGCGCAGCTTCGCGGACGCGCGGACCTGCTTGCGCAGGTCGTCGACGCGCGCGAGCCAGGCGTCGCGCGCGTCCATGGCCTTCTTGCCTACCGGTGCGATGGTTCGTCGCCGCGCGAGGCCAGCATACGTTCGGGACGCCGCGTCGCGCCCCGGAGCACGTCGCCCGCCAGCACCGCGCACCGCTCCAGGACGTCGAGGCTCGCGAGCGCGGGCGCGAAGTGCGACGGCCGGCACGCGAGGCGCCGCGCCGCCTCGAGCAGCCGGTCCACGAGCTGCTCGAGGGCCGCGAGGTCGTCGGGCGCGACGCTGAGGGTCACGCGCACGCGCGCCCGCAGGCTCCGGAGCGCGGCCCGGGCCTCCGCGGCCTTGGGCGACGCCGGCGCGTAGCCGCCGCGGTCCCGCACCTCGGCGGCCCAGTCCGCGCACTCCGGCGACAGCTCGTCGTCGTCCTTGGGCGCCGACGCGACGACGGCGTCGACGACGGGCGCCGCGCCGCGCGTCGCGCGGTCCGCGGCGCGCACCTCCTCGGCCTTGGCACCGCCGTCGCCGTCGTCGCGCGCGCTCGCGACGCTCTCGCGCAGCCGCGACGGGAAGAAGCTGAAGCGCCCCATTGGCTCCGAGGCCACTGGGCCGTCAGCCTTCTCGATGAGGTATTACCTAGGGCAGTCCACGATAACAACCCTCCGCCGGGACCCGGTTTGGCTGACCGTGAGGTAGATGTTGGCTGGCTGGCTGGCTGGCCAATGAGAGCCACCCATTTCTTCAATGTAGACGTTGCATGTGCAAATCTTGCGATTTTCGCGCGGGAATCATGTCAAAATCTAGTTAGGCGCCCGGAGTGGCCGCCGGGGGTGACGGAAGCGCGAGCGCCGACGCGCGTGGCCGGCGGCCAGCCGGTCGCCGCAGCCGCCCCAGGACGGCGCGGCGCGCCGTAGGCGCGCGTTGTAGAGGTTGTAGCGAGGGGTCGTTTCGTGGACCGGACGTCCCTGGCTGGCTGGCTGGGTCGACCCCCGGCGGCTGGCTGCGGTCTTGGCCTGCCCTTGGTATTACGCGCGTTTTTGATGCACACAAATGTTCAACGATGCATTTACAAGTAGGTTGTTGAACTCACTTTAGCGCGGCATTCCTCCGACCGCCGCGCCGCTGCCCGCCGCCCCCCGCTCGAGGCACCATGCGCCGGGCCGGCGGGTCGTCGCGCATGATCCGGAAGCGGGCGGAGTCGATGAAGCACGTCATGGACAGCCTCCCCCCGGAGCTGCGGGCGTCGTCGGCGGAGATCGAGGACGCCGTGCGCCTCACGGGCGAGATCACCGTCGCGGCCACGGGCGAACGCATCGGCACGGCGCAGCGGCGGCAGCGGCGCATCCTCGCCGCGACGCCGAGCCGGTCCACGCGGCGGGACGCGCGCGCGGCGACGCCCGCGCCGGCGCCGCTCGACGAGGACGCGGTCATCGACCTGCTGCCGCCGTCGCTGTACTCGACGGCGGGCGAGATCGACTGCATCAACGGCGCCGTCCCCGACCTCGACGTCGACGCCCTCGTCCGGGGCGGCGCGCGCGCGCCGTCGCGGAGCCGCGACCTCGTCAACGACGCCGCCGCGGCGATCGCGCGGACGGCGCCGCGGTCCGCGGCGTCGGCGGGGCCGCCGCCGAGCCCCGACGACGGCCACTGGGCCCGGTCGAGCCCCCTCTTCTCCCACGCGGGCTACGCCCCCGGCGGCGACCGCGCGGCGCCGCCGCCGCCGCGCGCGTTCTTCCTCGCGAGCGTCGGCGCGGCGCCGTCGCGCGGGCCCCGCGGGCCCGCGCCCCGCGACCTCTTCGGCGCCTCGCGGGGGCGCGACGGCGCGGCGTAAGGGCGACGTCGACGGCGCGGGAGGCTGCCCCAACTTTGGCAAGCAGGGAGAAGGCATGAGATATGCGCTCGTCGCCGTCGCGCTGCTGGGGGTCGCTGGCGCGCAGAAGAAGAAGAAGCCGCGGTCGCAGCGGAGCGGGCGGTCGCGGGGCGGCGACGAGCGGCGCGACGGCGGCCCGGCCGCGCGCCTCGAGAAATACGATCGGTGCGTCCGCCCGGGAGCCGACGGACCGAAGACCCGTACGCGCGTCCCCGCCGCAGGCTGCTCGACATGGCCGCCCAGGCCAAGGCGGACACGTCGGAGCTGACGGCGGCCATCGGCGACCTCAAGGCGCGGGAGGCGGCGCTCCTCGCGAGCGACGCGGACGTGAGGCCGCCGCGGCCGCCGCGCGTCGAGGGCCTCCACCCCGGCGGCGACGACGACGAGGCGTCGCTGGCGCCCGAGGACCTCCTGGAGCTCGACATGGCCCGGGGGCGGGGGCCGCCGAAGGACCGCCGGCCGCCCATGGACAAGGCGGAGCGCGAGGCGATGATGGCCGCGTCGCGCGAGCGCCTCGACAGGCTCCGCGACATGTCGCCCGAGGAGCGCGTCGCGGAGATGCGCCGCGAGCGCGACGAGCGGCTCGCGAACCGCGACCCCGACGAGCTCGGCCTGCCCGAGGAGCTCGCGCCGCGCGCGCGCGACGCCGTCGACCGCGCGAAGAGCAAGCTCCGCGAGCTCCCGCCCGAGGAGCGGCACGCGAAGCTCATGGAGCACCAGGCGAACATGGAGGGCCACCGCGCGGCCATGGAGGCGTGGCGCGACAAGCACGAGGCCCACATGAACGAGCGCCGCGCGATCATGGACAGCTACCGCGACCTCTCCCACCAGGTCCGGGAGGCCGTCTTCGCGAGCCGGCCCCTCTAGGCGCCGCCCGGGCCGCGTTACGAATGCCGCGGCCTCACCTCTCGAGCAGCGTGTCCTTCTCGTTTTTGTGGTGCCAGTGCTCGTCGAGGTCCCGCTGGTTCACGTGCTCCCGGAAGACGTCGAAGACGTCGAGGTTCCGGTGCATCTTCGAGAGCTGGAGGGGGCTCTTGACGTAGACGTTGTCGGGCTCGAGGATGAGCTGCGTGTGGGGGAGCAGCTTCGTGATGACGATCGCCGCGGCGCTGTCGTTGTAGTACGCCGCGTGCCAGAGGAGCGTGCGCCCCTTGGCGTCCTCGCTCTCCGCGAGGCCCGCCTGCTTCAGCGCCGCCATGCGGGACCTGAAGAGGATCTCCGTGTCCTTGTCCTTGATGGGGATCAGGGACAGCGCGCGGTTCCACTCCTCGCCCGCGGGCGTCCGCCCGCTGCCCTGGAAGTCGCTGAGGCAGCAGGCGAGCCAGCAGCTCGAGCCGGGCTCGGGCAGGGCCAGCTCCTCGATGTGGTTCCCGATGCTGCTGTCGCTCCGCATGGCGGCGGTGCACGGCGTCGACGCACCGCGGCTGCCCCCAGGTCCAGGCGCGCCGGCGCCGGGGCCGGGGCGGGCAGGACGATGATGCCGCTCGAGTGAAGCGATCACTCGCTCTTCAGCCACTGCGTCGCTGCTCGCCCAGCAAGACCTCGCGCGCCACCGCCGAACCCAGCCCGCGCGTCCGCCGCGTCCGTCGCCGTGTCTTCCCGCGCCGCGCGCCGTCCTATGACGACTCCACTGTTTACCCGACTGAACATCCACCCTGTCGACAAAAGCAGTGCTTGGTTAACTTTACCGAGGACACACACACCCCCGGGACGATGACGAGAAAGCTGAAGAATTATTGGACTAGAGTCTCTGAATGGACCCTTCAACCCAGTGGTGTAGATACTGATTCTTCCGAGTCCCCCGCCCCTCGTCGCGCGCGGCCGCCGCGCGCGCCGCCGCTCCGCCTTCGACCTCGGACGCCCCGCGCAGGCCCCGCGGCGGCGCCGCTCCGGCGGCCGGGTGCGCGCGCGGCGTCCGGACGCGCCCGCGCGCGATACCCCGGTGAGCAACGCATTCAAATGGGTAATTTACATCCGAGAGCAACGGTGGAGACGACCTGCCCCGTGAGGGACCGTCTCGCGCGCGCGCCGCCGCGCGCCGCCGCGGCCGACGGCGACCGCCCTCCCCCGCAGGCCGCCGCCGCCGTCGCGTCGGGCCCGTCGCCGCCGCGCGCGGAGCTCCGGCGAGTCCCCGGCGTCCCGATGCGACGCGGGCGAGAGAGTCGGGGCAGACGCTAGAGCCTTACCGCGCCACTTCCACCGTGCGCGAGTTGGGTATTACGTGTTCTGCGAGAGTGAAAATTGCTTCATGGCGCAACCAGCGGAGTTGCGCCTTCAAGCTGGGCAGGCTCTTCCCATGCCGCGCCCGGTGGGTCTTCGGAAGAAACATCCCTCCTCCCTTCCGCAGGCGAGCGCGACGTAGCGGTGGATCTTTCGCCTCGCCCCGAGCTTGCTTCCAGCAGCTGCCGCGGCCGCGAAAGCCCGCCGCCTCTAACATCTAGATATTACTCGCGAGCGCGGCGACGCGCTCAACGAGGCCCCGGGGCTCGCCGTCGCACGCGGCCACGGAGACGCGGCGCCCGTCCCGCTCGACGACGGGCTCCGCCGGCAGCGGCGGCGGCGAAGCCTCCCCGGTCCAGGCGCCGAGGAGGTGGCCGAGGGCGGCGTCGACCTACCAAGCGCGTCGGTGACCATTTTTCCATCGTTTTCCCGGTCAGAAGCTCTCGAAAGTCGTCCCGGCCGCGGGACGCTGGCGTCGACGGCGCGCGGCGTCTCGTGGTGCGGGCAGTGGCCGCTCGGCGAGCACTCAACGTAGTCGAAGGCGGCGCCGGCGCGCGCGAGGCGCCGCGCGGCGCGCTGGCCCCAGACGGGCTGGATCCAGGGGTCCTCCTTGCCGTAGATGAGCGCGAGGCGCAGGTCCCGCTGCCCCGCGAGCGCCTCGAGCGCGTCGGCGAACTCGAGCCGCGACCGCCCGCTGAAGAGGATGCTCGCGAAGGCGTCGGGCCCGACGGGGTGCGACGCGGCGTCGCAGATCTGCGCCGCGAGCGCCTCGTCGCAGGCGTCCTTCGTCGCGTAGACCTCGGACAGCAGCGAGCGCACGACGGCGGGGCTCCGGAGCGCGTCGAACCACGCCGCGGCGAACGCGCGGAGCGGCCCCGGCGCGGGGAGCGCGCCGTCCCAGAACGGCGACCCGCCGGGCCCCCAGAAGGACCAGAACGGCGTCGGGTTCAGCAGCACGAGGCCGTCGACGCGGGCCTCGCCGCGCGCCGCCGCGACGGCCGCCGTCAGCCCGCCGACGGAGTTGCCGGCGACGAAGACGGCGCCGTGGCGCGCGAGCTCTTCCGACGCGAGGAAGTCCGTCAATTGGCGCGCCCAGCTCTCGATGCCGAAGCGCGCGCCGGCGCGCGCCTCGTCGGGCCACGATTTGCCCTGCCCGAACCAGTCCATGCAGTAGACCGCGTGCCCGCGGTCCGCGACGAGCGACGCGACTTCCTCGAACTGGAAGCTGCCGGCGCCGAAGCCCGGCGCGAAGACGACGCAGGAGCGCGCGTCGGCGGGGCCGCAGGCCGTGTAGTGGATGTCCACGGGCCCGCCGCCGCTGTGCGCCCAGGTCCAGCGCCGGGACGTCGGCGCAGTGAGGGCGGCGGCGGTCGCCAGCAGCAGCAGCAGCGATGGCGGCATGGCGGGCGGCTGCGGACTGCCGGTGGCACAGGATCCACGCAGCTCGACTCAGGACGCGCAGCGCAGCGGCCGGCGCACAGGATCCACAGCTCGACCGAGCTCGCGAGTTCCTCGACTGATTTCACGGCATCGTGAAGTGCACCATGAGGCGGCGCAGATGGCGCGGCTCATCTGCGCGGCTCCGGAAGGCCTTCCGGACTTCTCCGGACTTGGCTCCGGTCTAGCGGCTCGGTGCGGCGTTAGCGGCAAGCAACGGACGGCGACGCCCTCGCAAGCCAACAGCCACAATAAATACACACAGACACACACACATTCACACGTAGCGCGCGCAGCAGGTCCAGGGCCGGTCCGTCTTGACGTCCGCGGGGAACGCGCGCGCGCACTCGGCCGCGGCGGCGACGACGTTCGGCAGGTCGTGCGACGTCGCGCCGAAGTTGGCCATGACGAAGCGCGCGTCGTTGAGCCGCTTCGCCGACAGCTCGAGGGTCCTGCGGCAGGCCGCGCGCGCGTCGTCCCAGCGGTAGGCGCCGCCGAGCTGGGCCGCGGCGCGCGTCATCTGGACGACGCCGTCGAGCGTGAGCGAGCCGAGCTGGTCCGCCGCGCCGTCGGACCAGGCGCCCTGGCTCGTCTGGAGGCCCAGCGTCAGGTCGAGGACCTCGCGCGCGAAGGGCTGGCTCGCGTTCGAGAAGCCGAGTTCCACGCCCCGCGTCGGCATCGCGCCGCCGACGCACTGGATCCGCGGGATGTGCGCGGGGCAGAGCACGCCCGTCGCCGCGTCCGTCTTCTCGACGAGCCAGTTCCGCCACCAGGCGAGGAAGGGCTGCGACGCGTCCGCGTAGCCGAGGATGGCGGCGCACGAGCCGATGCGCTGGCCGCACCGGTGGATGTTGTTGCCGCCGAGCTTGTCCGAGTAGCACGCGTCGTCGTAGAGCGGGTCCATCTCCGCGCGCCAGGCCTCGGCGCCGCCGGCGGCCAACTGTTGGCAGCGGTCCGTCGGCGCGCCGGGCCTCCGGTCCAGGAGCGCGAGCGCCGCGGCGGCGGACGCGGACGAGTGCCAGGGCTGCCAGCCGGGCGCGCCGCTCGACACGGCGTAGTCGCCGCCGTCGACCTGGTAGGAGTCGATCTCCGCCTTCCACGCGTCCCGCCGCGCGTCCGTCAGGTCTCCCAGCCGGCCCACGGACGCGAGCAGGTGCGCGGCGTCGACGACGCCGTAGAGCGAGCCGAACTGCTGCGCCGGGCGGAAGCGGAACTCGCCGCGGCTCTCGTTGAGGGCGAAGGTCTCGAGCCAGAGCGGCAGCACGACGCGCTCGAAGGGCCGCAGATCCACCCTTTTCGTCGTCGCGAGCTTTCGGTCGAACAGGTGCAGGACGAAGCGCAGCACCGGCCAGAGGCCGAGCCCGAGGAAGAGGAAGGTCTTCATCGCGTGTTTTGCGTGTTTTTGCGTGTGCGTCGAGTGATGCGGCTGCCAGTACGTTCTCAGCGTTTAGTGGCGTCGTTCTCAGCGTTTAGTGGCGTCACAGCTGACCGCTAGCGCCGTGCGGGGGCGGCCGAAGAGGCTAAAGGCAATTGCCATCAGCTATGCCGTAGGGCAAGCTCCGGAAAGCCGACGGCAAGATCGGCCTCCGCCGACACGGCACTCGCTGCCGGCGCCGCGAGTCGATCAAGGTCGCCGCGCTGAACCCGCGCCCGCGCCCCGCGCCGCGCCCCTTCTCCCGCCGCCGCCATGGACTACGACGCGCTCGCCGCGCGGGTCGAGGAGGACGCCGCGGACTTCGGCGCCTGGAGCAAGTTGCTGGCCGTCGTCGAGGAGACGTCCGTCGCGCACCCCGAGCGCGTCGCGTCGACCTTCGAGGCGTTCCTGGCCAAGTTCCCGCTCTGCTTCGGGTACTGGTGCAAGTACGCCGAGCTGAAGCAGAAGCTCGGCGAGGCCGGCGCGGTCGACGCGTCCGACGGCGGCGCGGCGGAGGTCTACGCGCGCGCGCTCGAGGCCGTGCCCCTGAGCGTCGAGCTCTGGAAGGCCTACACGGCCCACGTCAAGGCGACGACGGCGGGCCAGGCGAGCGACCAGCTGCGCGCGGCCTACGTCCGCGCGACGGAGATGGTCGGCCACGACAGCGCGGCCGCGGGGTTGTGGGACGCGTTCATGGAGTTCGAGGCGGACCGCGGCGACCCGGAGAGCGTCTGCACCGTGTTCCGCAACATGCTGCGCGTGGACACGAGCGGCCGCACGGACGAGCTCTGGAAGCGGCTCAAGATGCTCTGCAAGTCCTACCGGTGCAACGAGATCTGCTCCGACGCGGAGCGCCTCGAGCTCCTCGAGCGCTACAACGTCGCGAAGAAGACGGGCACGTCCGCCGCCGAGGACATCGAGGCGTCGTCGAGCGGCCGCGTCGCGGGCATGAAGGAGCTCCAGGAGCAGCGGCAGATGGAGCAGCTGCTCACGGAGGCGGAGAAGGTGAAGAACGACCTCATCAACGGCCGGCTCCAGCGCCAGCACTACGAGGCGGGCGTGCGCCGCTGGTACTTCCACGTCAAGCCTCTCGACGACGCCCAGCTCAACAACTGGCGCGACTACCTCACGCTCGAGGCCCAGAACCCGCCCGCGGGCGGCGACGAGGCCGCGCACGTCGCCAAGGTCCGGGGCCTCTTCGAGCGCTGCCTCGTGCCCTGCGCGCTCTACTCCGAGTTCTGGATCCGCTACGTGTCCTGGGCGCGCACGCACTGCGGCGCGACGGACGCGCTCGCCGTCGCGACGCGCGCGGCGACGGTGTTCCTCCCGCGGCGGCCCGACGTCCTCGGCGTTTTGGCCATGCTCCTCGAGTCCGCGGGCCGGCCCGACGACGCGCGGAGCGTCCACGAGGCCGTCTACGCCGCGACGTCGACGCCCGAGGCCCGGGCCGCGGGCGCGCTGCTCCTCGCGAACTTCGAGCGCCGCGCGGGCGGCGCGGACCGCGTCGACGCGGTCTACGCGCGCGCGCTCGCCGACGGCGCGTCGCCGGACGTCGTCCGCGCCCACGCGGCGCGCTACCACGGCGTCGTCCGGGGCGACCTCGACCGCGCGCGCGCGGAGCTCGACGCGGCCGTCGCCGCGTCGCCGGGCAACGCGCAGCTCTGGCACGCCAAGGCCCAGGTCGAGGCGAGCCGCCTCGCCGACGACACGCACGGCAACGTCTACGGCGCCGTCGCCGCCGTCTACGAGGCCGCGCTCGCGGACGACAGCGCGGTGCCGCTCGCGGACCGCGGCGACCTCTGGGCGCAGTACCGGGCCTGCGCCAACGACCTCTGCGACGACGCCGGCGACCTGCTCAAGATCGCCAAGGCCTACGCGCGCTGGCGCACGCGCGCCGACGTCGAGGCCGCGCCCCTCGCGCCCGCGCCGAAGCGGAAGCGGAAGCCCGCGGCGCCGGCGCCCGCGGCGGCCCCCGCGGAGGCGCCGCCGGCCAAGAAGCAGGCCGCGTCGGAGCTCCTCGACTCCTACGGCGCCTACGCCGCCTACGGCGCCGAGTAGGGTCCACGTCACCCGCCCTTAGCGCTTCTTGTAGAGGCACGCGCGGAACGCGAAGCCGACCTTCGCGAGCTTCGCGGCGTCGGGTTTTCGGTCGGCCTTGCGGAAGACGAAGGCGACGAACATCTTGTTCTTGGCGTCGCGCCGGACCTCGTCGAAGCCGAGGGCCCGGGCGCCCGCGACGAAGCCCGCGACGCCGCCCTTGGCGTCGTCGAAGCGGCTCTTGACCTCCGTGACGCGGAGCTCGCCGTCCGGCCGCAGCACGCGGTGCGCCTCCCGCAGGAACGCCCAGTGGCTCGGGCCCATGAGCGCGAGGCAGAAGACGGCGACGTCCACGGACGCGGCCGCGAGCGGCACGCGCTCGATGTTGCACGCGACGACGCCCGGGGCCGTCGCGACGAGGTCGAAGGAGTGGACCTCGTGCGTCGCGTTCAGCTCCGCCGCGAGGCGCGCGTCGCCGCAGCCAAAGTCGGCGACGACGCGCCGGGGGCCGGACGCGAGCGCCGCGATGATCGCGTCGAGCGGGTTCTCGGGCCAGCCCCGCGCCTGCTCCCGGAAGCCCCGGTGGTAGGCGTCGGCGAGCTCGGGGTCCGCGCTGAAGCGCGCGAAGTTCGCGCTGCCGGACGACGTGTAGAGGTCCTCGTTGAGCTGCCGGAAGCGCCCGCCGGACAGCTTCTTCAGCAACTTTTCCTGGAGCGCGCTGAGGGCCGTCTTCTTCGCCGGTTGCGGCGCGGACGCGTGCGCTGGTGGTGGTGGCGAAGCCTTTGGCTTCTGCGCCACCGGGTGCTCCTTCTTCCCGGCCTTTTGCTGGCGCTTCTTTTGCTTCGAGCTCTTGCCCATGCTTGCTTTTGTCGCTTTGGGCACGGTCGGCCGCAACCAAAACGTTGCCGGGCCGGACGCCGGAGAGGCGCCTAGGCCATGGGCGCGCCGCCGCGCGCGAGACGCCGTTCTCTGCCGTCATAAACCACGTGGTCGCGACCGAGCTAAAAACACGATGGAGCGCCGCGAGATGATCTGCGAGCGCTGCGGGTCGAAGCGCTTCGACACGGAGCACGACGGCCGCTACGCCGTGTGCCTCGACTGCGGCATGGAGTCGCAGGAGTTCCAGAACACGGCCTTCGACGCCTGGGAGGAGGAGGCGGCGCTCTACACGTCCGGCGGGCGGCTCCTGCGGCGGCGGGAGAAGACGGGCCGGAAGAGCGGCGCGGCGAACAAGAAGGCGCGGCCGCCGCTGCCCGAGCTCGACGCGCTCCTCGACGGCCTCGGCGCCGTCGCGCGCGCCGTCGCCGGGGCGCTCGTGCGCGACTGCGGCGTCGCCGAGGGCTGCGTCGCCGCCGTCGACGAGGCCTGGCGCGCCTACGCCGCCGCCGCGCGGCGCGGCGACGGCGCCGCGCCCGCGGCGAAGAGGCGCAAGGTCCCGAGCGCGTCGCGCGACGCCGCGCGGAGCCGCGAGCGGCGGCGGCGGCTGAGGGGCGAGCAGGGGCCCGCGCCGCGGCTCCCGGACGCGCCGCCGCCGCCGCCGGACGACGGCGTCGACGGCGCCGCGCGCGACGCGGACGCGCGCGAGAGCGCCGGCGTCGAGGCGGTCCTGCCGCTCGTCTACGCCGCGTGCCGCCGCGGCGCCGTGGACCTGTCGGCCTGCGACCTGTCGGCCTGGGCCTGGGCCGGCGCGATCCCCTACCTGGGCTGCTGGCGCCGGGGCCTCGGCGACGACGCGCGGCGGCGGCTCGGGCCCGGCGGCGCGCTGCTCTTCGCGCCGGACCGCGCGCCGGCGCCCGGCGAGATCCTCCTCGCCGCGGAGCTCCGCTTCGCCGGCGGCGCGCCCTGGCCGCCGCTCGCCGACGACGCGGGCCTCGCGGCGGCGGCGCGCGCGCTCGTCGCCGACGGGCCGCTCCGGGACGCGCTCGGGGCGGGAGCCGCGCGGCTCCTCCGCCTCGCGCGCGCCGCGGGCGACGACGGTCCCGCGGGCGACGCGCGCGCGGCCGCGGCCCTCGTCGCCGCCGCGCGCCGCTACTACGCGCCGGGCGAGCTCCGCGGCGCCGCGGAGCCCCCGGCCGTGCCCTGGGCGCTCGGCGGCGCCGCGCGCGCGCCCGCGGCCTACGCGGCGTTGGTCGCCGACGCGCTCCGGGACCGCGTGCCGTCGACGGACCCGTCGCGCGCCGCCGGCGACCGCTTCGCCGACGCGCTCGACGCGCGCGCGCGCGCGCTCGACGCCGGCGACAACGGCGACGACGGCGCCGACGAAGGCGACGACGACGCGGCCGCCGGCGCCGACGACGCCGGCGCCGGCGACGCCGACGACGGCGCCGCCGCGCTCCTCGTCGCCGCCGCGGACCGCCTCGACTGCCCGCCGCCCCTCCTCGAGGGCCAGGTCGCCCGCCTCGAGGCCGCCGTCGACGCCGCCGTCGCCGCGGGCGACCGCCGACTCGGGGACGACCTCGACGCGGATCGCGCCGCGCGGTGCCGCGTCGTCGACGGCCTGAGCTACGGCGACCTCAAGCGCCGCTGCGCCGCCGCGGGCGTCGACACGCGCGTGCGCGGCGGCGACGGCGGCGACAAGCGCAAGCGGCGGCGGCGGAAGAGGCGCGTCCTCGCCGCGCGGCTCCTCGACGGGTAACTTGCACCTGTGGTTGAACCCTTGGAAACGATGGCATGAGGGGGCTGCCCATCGCGCTCGTCGTCGCGGCGCGCGCGCACGCAACCTGCGACGTGCCGTGGACGACGCCGCAGGACACGCTCGCGTCGCTCGCGGCCGCGGCCGAGCGCTGCGACGCGATCCGCGTCGCCGCGCCGCCGGGCGGCGACGGTCTCGGCTCCCTCGTCGACCGGTTCCTGGCGCCGCGCGTGCGCTGGCGCGTCGCCGGCGAGGCGCCGGACGGCGCGACGCTCGAGCGTTTCCCGGCCGACGCGCGGCGGGACCGCTACCTCGCCCTGCTCGACTGCGCGCTCCACGGGAGCCCCTGCGCGAGCGTGCGCGTCGCGAGCGTCCCGGGCGGCGGCGGCTTCTTCGGCATGCACATGATGGGCCTCGCGCGGGCGCTGGAGGCGAGCATCGGTCGGCGCGCGCCGAGCCTGGCCGTCGTGCCGCGGGGCTGGGGCTACGGCAACGCGTCCGACGCGGCGTGCGAGGGCCTCGGGTGCTACTTCCTGCCGTCGACGGCGTGCGCGGCGCCGTTCCCGGCGGCGGCGCTGCTCGAGCCCTGCGGGAAGAAGGGCCTGGCGCGCCACGTCGAGGGCGCGGCGCTGCGGTGCCGCGACCGCGCGCCCGCGGGGTCGTCGTGCTGGCGCGCGGACCCCGAGCTCGAGGCGGCGCGGTCGCAGTTCGGCGAGGGCCTGGGCATGGCGCGGGAGCTCTACGACGCCGGCGCCGCGAGCCTCGCGACGCTGCTCGTGACCGCGCTGCGGCCGAACGCGCGGACGCGCGCGGCCGTCGCCGCGCGGTCGCGGCGCTGGGTGTCCGAGACGCCCGCGTGGGCCGCGCGCGCGCGGTGCGCGGCCGTCCACGTGCGCCACGGCGACAAGCTCACGGAGGTCTGGCTCCGGGCGCGGCCCCGCGACGCGTCCTTCAACCTCACGCTCGACGACTACGTGCGCGCGGCCGTCGGCGCGCGCGCGGGCCCGGGCGACGTTGTCCTGCTGACGACGGACGACCGCGACATCCTGGACGCCGCGCCGGCCGCGGCGGCGCGGTACGGCGTGCCCGTCGTGTCCGTGCCCGCGGGCCGGCCCCTCCAGTCCACGGCGCGCATCAACCGCCTGGGCCTCGGCGCCGTGAAGCACCAGGGCGGCTGCGCGCGCGCGGTGAAGATGGCGCGGCGCGCGGCGGCCGCGCGCGCGGCGGACGGCGCGGCGCCGCGGTACCGCGCGCCGCCGACCTGCGCGCTCGACTACCTCCGCGACCCGACCACGGGCGAGGACGTCGGCGGCGAGGAGCTGCTCCAGTGGCTCGTCGCCTGGAGCCTCATGGGTTCCTGCGACCGCTTCGTCGGCAAGCCCGCGGAGAGCCTCTTCGCGCGGTTCATCTTCGCGTCCATGTGCGTCGACCGGGGCGCCTGCCCCGAGCTCCGGTCGCCGAGCGGCGGCGCCTGGCGGGACGCGTATTAGTAGATCCCCGTGTTGTAGTGCATGCCGAGGAGGTCGAGGCGGGACACGATGCGGCCGAGGCGGAAGACGCGGAGGACGCGGAGGAGGCGGAGGCAGTCGAGGGGCGACAGGTCGAAGGGCAGCGTCTTCTGGTCGTCGTCCTGCATGGGCAGGCCGCAGTGGTTGAAGTAGAGCCCCTCGACGTGCGCGTAGAGCATGTCCCTGGGCACGGACGCCAAAAAGTCGACGGCGAACCAGCCCCGGAGGTAGCCCCTGGCCACGTCCCAGCGGCCCGTGACGAAGCGCCGCGCGTCGTGGTCGAAGTAGCCCGTGTGGAAGTTGACGACGAGGTCGAAGTAGAAGTACGCGTCCAGGACGAGGGTCGGCCAGACGAGCGCGCAGGCCTCGTCGAGCTCGAAGAAGATCTCGAAGGGCGCCATGAGCGACGAGAAGATCATCGCCGGGATCATGAGCAGCTGCCAGACGCGGCTGCAGGCGCCGTGCGGGTCGAGGCTCCGCGCCGTCGCGGGGAACTCGACGAGCCGCTCCGCCTCCTCGTGGAGCCGCACGAGCTCGTCCGTGTCGAGGTCGAAGACGCTCGGCGACACGCGCCGCTTCTGCACGTCCGCGGGCCACTTGACGCCGCCGACGACGCGCGGCGGGCCCGCGCGGATCTTGAACGTCCGCGTCGGCCGCTTCTTCGGGCTGCTCGTCGCGTCCGCGAGCTCGCTCGGGTAGGACTGGGGCGCCTCGCCGATCGCGCGCCGCGGCGGCGGCGGCGGCGAGCGCTGCCGCATGCCCGGCGACAGGGGGCTCCGCGGCGACGCGACGAGCTCCTGCTCGCCGCCGGGCGCCGGCGGCAGCGTCGGGATCTCCACGGGCACGGGGTGGTACCGCTGCGCCATGGCGGCGGTCGACCTCGACACAACCCCACCAGCGCGGCCGTCGCTCGGTCGACGTCGGGCGGCGAGGATCGAGGTCGATCCGGGGCGGTGGGGATCTAGGTCGATCCCGGGCGCCCCGCCAGCAGCATTATGCTCTTCGGGGCTGCTTCGGAGGAGTAAGGACACGAGCTTTTAGGGGTTTTCTTCAATGTCTACCCGCCGAGGAATTCAGTGTTTGCTTCAATGTCTACCCGCCGATTTGTTGATATCGGGCTTCCGTGCCTACTGCGAGTCGTCGGTCGTGGGCGCGGCGGTGACGACGGAGCCGCAGCAGCAGACGCGGAACGCGTCGGTCGTCGTCGTGACCTTGTCGCACTTGTAGCGGCTGTCGTCCTTGTCCGCGCCGACGGGGTAGCACGCGCCGTTCTTGATTGGAGCAATCCTCGAAGCCGAGCGCGTCGACCATGGCCGCGAGCCCGTCCGCGGAGCCGTACCAGTCCGCGGACGCGTAGAGCGCCATGCCGTCCGCGGAGCACGTCTTGCCCGCGGCGCCGCACGCCGCCGCGCAGCTCGCGCCGACGTCCGCGAGCACGCACGCGGCCGCGTAGTCCGCGCCGTCCGGCGCGTCGTCGCAGTACTCGTCGAGGCGCCGGCGCCGGTCGAGGCTGTCGACGCCCAGGTCGTCGAGCATGGCGTCGTAGGCCGCCGTCGTGTCGTCGGCCTCGACGAAGGACGTCGCGGAGCACGTCGTGCACACGGGCGAGAAGTCGAACGTCGCGGAGCTTGAGGCGTAGGTCCCGGCCTCGAGGCCGCTCAGGGTCACCGTCGCGCCCGTGGTCGCCGTCACGACCACCGGGAACGCGCCGCCGCCGGGGCGGGCGACGGCCGCGACCTGGAGCGTGTGCGTCATGTCGACGTAGCGCGTGCCGTTCGCGCCGCCGTCGACGGCGTAGCCCGCCTCGACGACCTCGACGCTCGACACCTTGGCCACCTAGGCGTCGGGCACGTAGGCGAGGTAGGCGAGGGGCGCGTCGAAGGTGTTGACGTTCGTCGAGATGGCGAGCCCCGTGTCGCGGTCCCGCAGGATCTCGGACCCGTCCTCGAACTGCTTGATCATGTCCTTGAGGTCGCTGTTGTTGTCCTTGACGACGTCGTAGGTGAGGCCCCAGGTCCCCAGAATGATCGTGAGCACGAGGCAGCAGACGACGGTCCCGACGACGGCGAGCGCGCGGACCTGCGACTTGTAGCCGGCCTCCGCCTCGACGTGCCCGGCGTACGCGCGCGCGAACTCGAGGATCTCCTGCTTGTCGATGACGCCGTCGCCGTCCTTGTCCATGGACTCGATGACGCCGACGAGGATCTTCTTCTGCGACGCGGCGTCCGGCGCCGCGGCGAGCGCCGACCGCAGGTCCTCCTTGCGCACGCCCGAGGGCGGCTCCCGCACGCCGGCGCCGTCGCGCACCTCGACGGCCTTGCTGTCCACGAGCGGCGCCGTCGCCGCCTCGTCGACGACGGGCGTCGTCGGCGCCAGCTCCACGCCCCCATTCTGCATTCTCGTCGAGTCCTCGACCATCACCGACATTATCTGGAAGCCAGCGACGGGCTGCCCAGCAAGGATTCCAGCGAGCTGCTGAGTTTGAAACTTTGGAAGGCTCAAAGTTGAAGGCCTTACGAGGTTCAACAATCACACCTTAGCGTGCCGCGACGGCGGCGACGGCGGCGGCGACGGCGGCGCCGGCGGGGAATCGGCGCGGTGGAGCTTCGGCGGGTCGCGGCCGTGGAAGAGCGCGAGCGCGGCGACGACGGCGGCGACGGCGCCGGCCTTCGCGGGGCTCGCGCAGCCGGCGACGCGCGCCGGCGGGTCGCAGGAGAGCACCGCCGACGCGGCGAAGACGACCAGCACCTGGACGCCCTTGAGCATGGACGCGGACACGGCGCCGCGGTCGCCGAGCGTCGCGAAAAACGACAGCGCGTGCGCGCAGTCGACCAGAACGAGCGGCGCGTAGGCGAGCGCCGCCCGCGGGTCGACCGGCGCGCCGCTTCGCGCGACGACGAGCGCGACGTACGCCGCGAGCGCCGCGGCCTCGGCCGCGCCCATGAGCGACGACAGGCGGAACGGCGTGAGCCCGTCCTTCGCGCAGGCCTTCAGGGCGTGTTCGGCATAGACGAACATGGCGCTGTGCCCCAGAGACCCGAGGAGCGCGAGCGCGAGCCCGCCGCGCGAGCCCCCGGCGCTCCCGTCGCTGCCGGCGAGCTCGTAGGACACGATGCCCGCGGTCGCGAGGACGACGGCGACCCACTGCTCGGGCCGGAGGCGCGCGCCCGCGCAGGTCCCGAGGCACGCGACGATGAGCGCGCAGGACGAGTAGACGAGCGTGAACGCCGCGGCGCCGCAGGTTAGCAGCGCCAGGCAGAGGAGCGTCGCGCTGCCAAAGTCGAGGACGACGGCGACGGCGACGGTCCGCCACGCGCCGCGCGCGGCGCCGGCCCAGGACCCGCCGCCGCCGGGCGCGAAGGCCTCGCGCGCGGGCGCGACGAGCGCCATGCCCACGCAGTTGGCGAGCATGGGCCCGAGGAGCCGCTTCGGCGCCAGGCCTCTGTGGCGCAGGTCGTCGACGAGCAGCGGCTGCAGCGCGCCCGTCGTCGAGTAGATGACGAGCCACCAGGTCGCCGACGACGGCATGGTTGCCGCTGCACAAGGTGTAGCTGTTAGAGCCTGCGCAACGCGTGCTCTGCGCGCTCTGCGTGCGCTGCTTATGCAAAAGATGGCCGCATCGGCAAAAACTTATGATTGATGGTCAACATGAAGACAACATGGTCTTTTCAACTGGCGGCTTGACATACTCTCTCGCGCGAGGTCCATTAGCTACCTAGCCGCGGCGCCCTCCTCCCAAACGACGGGGCATTTCGTACACGCCCAGCCATAGCTGGGCGTAATACACGGCGCACTTGCAGATGTGTTTTGCATACAAAGTTCCCATGGGAGTGAATCGGTCTCCTCCTGAAGGCCGAGCACCGGGACGTACCAGTTTCAGAGTTTTATTTGGAAAGTCGATTCCCTGATCCAGTCCGGCAGAATGTAGCATATCCAGAAGCGCAGCACTCGTTGGCCTTTTTGCGAAACTCACAATCACCTCTTTGGCGGTTCTGGGTCCGAGTTTCGTAATTAAAGTGTCGGCCACTTTGACGAAAAGGTCCAGGTCATTGATGTCGTCGTTGGCATGCGTTAAGTCAGAGTACAGTTTGACATTCGGGTGCATTAGACTGTGTATGTGACGAAGCTCTATCAAATTTTTCGGTTCTTCGTACATAGGAAATGGCCAGATTTCTTGCAGGTAGATGCACCTGCGATTCGAACCCGTTTCAGAATGGGGTTTAAACAGGGAAAGGCAGCCGCGCGGCGTCGACGCGCCGCGCGGCGTCGACGCGCCGCGCGGCGTCGACGCGCCGCGCGGCGTCGACGCGCCGCGCGGCGTCGACGCGCCGCGCGGCCGAGACGCGCCGCTCACGGTCCTGCACGCCGTCCCGGCGCGCGCGGAGCGCGCGAAACACGGACGCGGGCATGCCGCCCCCAAAGTTCTCGGCCTTGTTCATCGAAGCACTTGTCAAATTTTGGGTTTTTGCTTGTGTCCGGACCTGCGTGTATATTCAGCGGCCTCAGCGCAGCACCTGAGAGCTGGAGGGCGCGCTCTACAGCGAGGCCGCGCCGCGCGAGGACATAGTCTACCCAGATGACTTCGCCAGTGCGGATCACCTCATGGTTTTCCTCGTCCCATTCGCGACGACAAAAGAAACTTGAAATGCTAGAAGAATTGTGACCACAGACATACATACCTTTTGATGCGAAGCGTTGTGAATGGTCCATCGTGAAGCCCACGCGCTGGACCGTATTAGGGCGGGTAAGCGACGCGGCCATCATTAGAGGTAGTAGTCGCTGCGCGTCCGATTCCGCTGCTTCGCTTTCTTCTACCGCATCAAGCAGATCCGCGTCGCGGTCCGCCTCGGATCGCTGGACTACTGGTTGCCGCGTCTGGCCAGGCGCAGGTCGATGCTGCGACGGCGGCATCTCGCAGAGCACGGCGTGCACAGCTGCGGGGCGCGAGCAGACGCTCCGACCAATCGAGCTCTGCGGCTTCACTGTCCCTGCACTTGAACGGCAAGATGGGCGCGGCGACAACAACATGGTGCTTATCCCCCGGCTTGGGCGGCCTTGGCCATTTGCTTGAGCTTGGCGGCGAGGCCGTCGTCGCTCGCGCAGACGCAGGACCGGGAGAGGAGGTCGAAGCTCGCGCCGGACGTCGGCGGCCGGGACGCGTCGCCCGGCGGCGCGCGGCGCGCGTCGACCATGGCGACGTGGCAGCCCGCCTCGCGCGCGACGAGCGTCCCCGCGCACCAGTCCCAGGGCTTGGGGCAGTCGCGCTCGACGAGGCCGATGACGAGCGACGACGCGCGGCCCGACGCGACGTAGCAGAGCGAGAGCACCGTCGACCCCAGGATGCGGACCGCGCGGACCTTCTCGTCGAGGAGCGCCGCGTAGAGCCGCGCGAGGGGCGCCGCCGCGGGCCCGCGCTCGTAGCCGAGGTCCGTGAGCACCGTCGCGGAGCTCAGGTCGCCGCCCGCGAGGTCGACGGCCGGCGGCGGCGCGAGCCGCGCGCCGTTGAGGAACGCGCCCTCGCCCGCCGCGGCGACCCAGAGCTCGTCGCGGTAGGGGTCGAAGACGACGCCGAGCACGGGGACGCCGCGCTCCGCGAGGCCGATGGACACGCAGGAGCAGGGCAGGCCGTGCACGAAGTTCTGCGTGCCGTCGATCGGGTCGACGATCCACGTCGGCGTGGCGTCGTCGTCGAGGACGGGGATGGCGCCCGCGTCGGAGCAGGCCTCCTCGCCGACGACGCGGTGGCCCGGGAACGCGCGCGCGAGTCCCTCGACGACGAGGCGCTCGTTCGCCAAATCCGTCGCCGTGCAGGGGTCGATGCCGCCGTCGCCGTCCTTCCACTTGGTCTCGCGCGCGGCGCGGTTCGCGCGGAGCATGGCCGCGCCGCAGCGCCGCGCGAGCGCGACGGCGGTCCGCGCCTCGCGCCAGTAGCGCGACGACAGCGCGCGCGGCGGGCCGCGGGAGCCCGACCGCGACAGCCGGAGCGCGACCGCGGCGGCGGGCAGCGCCAGCGCGGCGAGCACGAGCGCGCGCTCCATGCCTGCGGGGCGCGACGTGTCACGCGAGTTGCTCATGTTGCGAACCATCTCTCATGGCCCGACGAATGGATCGAGATCGGTTGCTAGGGAAATTACTATCACCATCGCGGCGCTTCGTCAATAATTGAATCGAGTGCTCATCATCTCCATTTTTCACGCGCATCGTTGCGGGACGCTGGACGCGCGGTGGAGATGCAGTAGTGCGTGTCCAGCTGCAGCCTCGCGTTGCGCAGCAGTGGGCCTTGCAGCCTCGCGTCGGCGCGTCGCAGTCGTGCGCACACCTTGCTCGCGAGCTTGCGGCGCCGCGGCAAATGGCTGAAGCCCGCATTGAAGTACAACACGCCTCCAAAAGATGGCGATTATCAACGCGACAGGATCAGGCGCAGGTGCAGGTGGAGGCGTCGGGGGTGCGCTGGGCGCAGACGGGCACCTCGGAGATGCCGCTGGCCGGCGCCTTGAGCGCGACCGCGTCGAGCGCGATGGACTCGTACCAGTCCGTGAAGTCGCCGAGGATGCGGATGGCCGTGATGCCGCTCAGCACCTCGATCATCTCGCACTGCGTCGGCGTCGGCCACTGGAGCAGCGTGTTTTTCGGGTCCTTGATCCAGCCCGCGGCCTCGTCCAGGGAGATGGAGTACGACGTCGTCGCGCCGTCGAACGCCGTCGCGTTCCACATCGGGAACGCGAGCGTGATGCCCTCGTTGACGTCGCAGTAGGCGCACTCGATCTCGACGAGGTTGTGGGCCATGGAGGGCACCGTCAGGTCGCCCGCGAGCGCGCCGAGCGTGAACTCGAGGCTGCCCTTGTAGGACGCGCCCTGGTTCCCCGAATACGCGGGCGGCGACTGGAACATCCAGCGGCTCGCGTTCGTCTCGAGGCCCGTGGCGCCGTCCTTGGCGATGAGCTCGTCCGTCGCGATGACGAAGCGGTTCAGCGCGGACCCGAAGGACGACGCGTCGTGCGCCGCGGCCGCGTTCCCCGGGCCGTTGCGGACGACGGTCCAGGCCTCGTTCGACGTGTCGAAGGCCGTCGCGACGAGGTTCAGGGACGGCGGCACGAGCGTCACCGTCGCCTCGCGGCTCGTGGCGGACCCGTCGCTCACGGTGTAGCCGAACGTCGCCCACTTGCCCGTGGCGAACTCGGCGTCGTACGTCGGCCGCGCGTAGTGGAGCCGGTTGTTGCTGCCCGTCACGGCGGCGCCGGCCTTGGCGGCGCTGCCCTTTTTGGGGTCGTAGCCGAACTTGGAGAAGACCTTGCTCAGCTGGCTCAAAACGCCGGACGCGGGCAGCGACGACACGTCGGCGCTCAGCACGTCGCCGTCCGTGTCGTAGCCGCGCAGCGTGACGACGGCGTCGGCCCCGGGGTCGACGACCTGCGTGATGTGCTTCGCGATGGGCGTGGCGGCGAACGCCGTCCCGGCGAGGGCGACGGCGCAGAGGAGCCTCCTTCGCATCGTGCCGCTGCTTTATGGCCGCTGATGGATACGCAAAAAAAGCGCTGCAGCACCGTTGAAGGTGAAGAAGTTCGGACGCTGAACTTGGGGCAGCCTTGAAACACATGGACCCGCCGCCGTCGGGCCTCGTGCGCGCCGTCAAGGTCGTGCTCAAGAGCCTGGCGAGCCTGCCGGAGGCGTCGGCGCCGACGAGCTGCCTGCGCTACGTGCTCGACCAGTTCGAGGGCGCCGCGTCCCACGGCCCGACGGCGCGCGCCCTCGACCGGGCCGCGGCGCGGGAGCCGCCGCCGGAGACGGACGGCGCCGCGCCGGACGTCGCGGCGCGGCCCGTCGCCGGCGGCGTCGCCCACGGCGACGCGGCCCTCCTGGCGACGGTCGACGCCGCGGGCCTCGGCGAGGTCCGGGACGCCGTCGCGGCGCTCGAGGCCGCGCTCAACCCGTCGGGCGGCGCCGAGGCCGCGCGGGCGACCCTGGCCAAGCAGGGCGTCAAGACGGAGTCGGCGGACGTCGCCGTCGCGCGGGCCGCGCTCGCGGCCGCGCCGCGCTGCTTCGACGGCGCGGCGCAGATCTTCGCGCCGTCCGCGCCGTCCGCGGTCGCGGCCAACGGCGCGCGGCGCTACCGCGACGGCGAGGCGCGGGGCGCCGTCACGGGCGAGTTCGGCGGCGACGCGGAGCACGCCCTCGCGACGCTGAACCCGCGCGGCGGCGCGCTCGGCGCCGCGGAGGCGCTCCACCGGTGCGCGGCCGGCGGCGGCGCGGTCCACGGCCTCGGCGCGGGCGAGCGCGGCCGCCTGCGGGCCATCGCCATAAGCGTCGACGTGCTCGTGGCCGGCCCGGACCTCGAGGTCGCCATGGAGGCCTTCGCCCACGTCGTCCTGTCCGAGGCGCTCGCCGCGGAGCGGTCGGCCGAATCGCTCGTCGTCGCGCTCGAGACGTCCGGCGTCGCGGCGACGCGCGGCGCGGACGCGCTCGCCGCCTTCGGGGCGGCGACGGGCGCGCTGCACCGCGCCTGGGACGACGGCTCGCCGCGGGTGGCCGCCGCGGCGGCGGCGGAGCAGGCCGCGACGGCCGCGGCCGCCGCGCGGCGCTGGCGCGTCCGACGGCTGACGAACCGCCGCGACGCGCTCCTCTTCGCCACGGCGGCCAAGGCCGCGGCCATCGCCAAGAACCCCGTGCGCCTCGCGCTCCTCCTGCGCACGCGCCGGGGCCTCGTGCGCTGCGAGTGCGTCTACGCGCTCCACTTCACGCGCCGGCCCGGCGGCGACCAGGGCAGCAAAAGAGAGCGAAATTCCCAACTTCAAAGGCTCCGATCTCGGCCATTTTCCACTCGTTTTGGCTGATTTTTGGACGAGCGATCATCTCGCGGAACGGTCTCGAAGCGTGGATGCTTTTTCCGGAACGCGCGCGCGCGGAACACTCACGTTGAAGCGACGTTGAATCACCCTTTTGCTGCCCAGGCGGCGACTGGCCCGCGGCGCCGCCGGCGTCGTTCGCGCGGTCGCCGCGCGCGCCCTGCCTCGGCGGCGTCTTCTTCGACCCGAGCGACGCCGCGCGCGTCTTCCGGGGCGTGGAGCGGGGGCCGGAGCCGGACGCCGCGGCGGAGGCCGACGGCGCCAAGGCCGCGGCCGCCGCGGTCATAGCGGGCGACGCCGCCGCGGCCGCGCTCGCGCTCCTCGGGGCCGCGACGCGGCGGCGCGAGGGCCGCGTCGTCGCCGGCGCCGCGGCGCTGCTCGCCGGCGGCGGCGCGTCCGCGCGGTCCCTGCGGCGCGGCGCCGCGGCGCTCGCGGACGCCGCGCGGCGCGTCGGCGCTCTCGCGGACCGCGACGCGCGGAATCGCAAGCGCACGGCCCACGAGCACTGCGGCGCCGCGGCGGCGCGGGGCCTGGGCTTCCGCGCCGCCGGCGTCGACGCCCACGACTGGGGCCACCACGCGCCCGCGGCGGAGGACGGCGACCACTGGCTCTTCGGGGGCCTCGCGGTGACCCGGAGCGAGGTCGCGCGCGGCGCGGGCGCCGCGCGGCCGGGCCGGTCGAGCCGCCCGGGGACGGCGGCGTCGCGCCAGGGCCACGCCAAGCACGACGACGGCCCGCCGAGCCGCGGCGAGCTGCGGGTCTGGGTCGACGCGCTCGACGGCGACTTCCGGAGATGGCGCGGCGACGCGTTGGCGTACGTCGGCCGCGGCGGCGGCGCGCTCGCGTGCCGCGACGCCGACGTCGCCGCCTTCCTCGCGCCGGGCCTGCGCGCGGATCTCCACCGCCTCTCCGCCGGCGGCGAAAACGTCGGGGAAAGCGCGGAGCGCGCGGCCTGGGGCCGGCTCCGCGCGCTCGCGCGGCGGGAAGCGGAGGAAACCGTCGACGCCGCGGACGACGCGCCGGCGCCCCTCTTCCTCGACGGCGGCGAGGCGGCCTTCGCGCGGCCGTCGCGGCGCCGGGGCCGGCCGCGGGCCGCGGCCTTCGTGGCCGCGGCGGCCGCCGCGCGCGACGAGGCCGCGGACGCCGCGCTCCCGGGTTTGGGGGGCCTCGCGCTGCCCGCGGCGGCCGCGGCCTACCTCGCGCGGCCGGCGGCGACGGTCGCCGCGACGCTGGCGGCGCCCCCGGGCCTGCGCTTCGACGACGCCGACGGCCGCGTCGTCGTCGCGGAGGTGGACCCGGCGGGCGCCGCGCAGGGCAGGAAAAGAGAGCGAAATTCCCAACTTCAAAGGCTCCTCTCTCGGTCTTTTTTCACTCTTTTCGGCTGACTTTTGGACGAGCGATCATCTCTCGGAACGGTCTCGAAGCGTGGATGCTTTTTCCGGAACGCGCGCGCGCGGAAGACTCACGTTGAAGCGACGTTGAAT